ATTCACGAACATAGTATATCACTCCAGTTATTTACTTCTACTTTAATTTATCTCAGCAATGTTTTGTACTCTTCAATACCCAGGTCTCATACCTCAAATATGTCCTTACTTATTTTATACTTTCATAATCTTGTAAATGCTACCGTTTTCTTAATTTCAATTGCCACTTCTTCATTTCTAGTATATAGAAATGCAATTTGGTTTTGTGGGTTGATCTTATATCCTGGAGCTTGACTAAACTCACTCATTCTAATCAATTCTTGGAGATTATGTAGGGTTTTCCATATAAACAGGTTGTCTGCAAATTAAGAGAGATAATGCTAGGGTTTAAATGTTTATGTCCCCTCCAAAATTCATGCTGAAACTTAATTGCCAAATGTAACAGTATAAGAGCTGGAGTCTTCAGGAGGCGATTGAGTCATGAGGGGGGGAGCCCTTGTGAATAGAATTAGGTATTCTTATAAAAGGACTTAATGGACAAAGTATGTCCCTTTTTTGGCCTTTTTTGCCTTTCCACTTTCTGCCATGTAAGGAAGCAGTGTTCCTCTGATTGTTTTTCTTTCAGAACTTTAAAAATATTATTCCACTATCTTCTGTCTTGTAGCATTTTTTACAAGAATTCTGCTGTAATTCTTATCTGTGTTCCTCTGCATGTAATGCATCTTTTTTATAATTTGGCTGTTTTTAAGATTCTCTCTTTATTACATTTTCAAGTAATTTGATTTTTATACCTTGAAGTAACTTCATTCATATTTGTTTTGCCTGAGATTCATTAAGCTGCTTAGATCTGCACTCTGTTCCCTGATAACATTAGCTGCCTTGGCCTTTCTGAGCTTCCAACTTTGTCTCCTCAACTCAGAAATCCCTGAATCCCTGCCTGGTTGCCCCCTCCTTGTGCTGTGGCCTGGAAATTCTATCCAGGAAGTAAGCTGTGGCAATAGTAAGGAATCTCTGGTTTGTTTCCTCTCTCTCAGGGATCACCATCCTATCTGCCTGATGTCCAATTTAAAAAAATTATTTCATAAATTTTTTCTGCTTTGTAAATCGTTTCATGTAAAAGAGTAAATCTAGTCCCTGTTACTCTATCTTTGATGAAAATCAGGAACTAACTTTTATTGCCCATCTTCTATGCACCAAACACTTTACATTCATTCCTTCATTCAATTCAATCAGAACTCCTATGATAAAGATACTATTAACCTATTTTACAGATGGGGAAACCAGGGGATAGGACAGGATTCATGACTAAAGTCATACATTCCCATTTAATGACAGAATAAATATTTGATCTCAGAAGTGTTTTGACTACAAATGGATGCTACCACCATATAAAACAGAAAGAATTATATGAAAGTATAGTAAATGCATAAATAAAATATATTACATAAAATTCATTTTATTCACTTTGCTGAATAGTCTAAACTTCATCTTTCCCTGGTGTTGGTAGCAGGGACATAATCTGGGAATGACAGTTTTACATTTCCAGTCACTATCTGCGTCGATTTTTCTTTCTTGTCCCTTAGTAATATACTAGGCAGATTCCACACATTTCAGTCCATTCTGAAGTTCCAATTGTACATACAATTTAAATCCTTCCTCACTGGTCTCTAAGTGGTTTAGAGAAGGGAAGGAGGATTATTACTCTATCATTCTTCCTCCTCCAACCCATTGAAATGGAACAAAGAGCCTGATTTCTTTATATACACTTCCTCTCTTTGTCTTTTAAATACCAACCACACTGAGGTTGTGGGCTAGGAGAGGAATAGGGGAGGCAGAGTTCTTCCTAAATAACTGCTACATTTGTGATGCCGAGGCATTACTGGTATTTCCCTGTCTATTCTTGTTCTATGTGCTCCTGACGTCCTCTGTTTTTACAATCTGTGGTTTTGATGAGATAATTCACCTCCACTTAGATGCCTCCTGTCTCTGCCTGCCTCTGGCCATGCCTGTGGTTCCATTTCCTCTCCGGGTGCAGCACTGCCTTCCAAGAAGAGCAACGCCATGGAAATGCCACAGTTTCTGCTCCCTCATATAGTCCCTATGCTCCTTTACAGGGATCCAGGTCTTTTGGGGCGCTGTCAAAGGGCTGAGGGTAAGTTGGTTGGGTTTGGCCACCTTTCTCTTCCCAGGCACACCACACTAAGGCTCCTTCTTGCCTGTCAGCCATGGATTATTTCTGCAAGCCTCTCCACTTCAGCTCTCTCTCAAAATGGCACGCAGGAACCTCGCTTTTCTAAGAAATCCCTCCTTATCATCAGCTCTGGTGGCAACAAAGGGATGGGATGGGGGTTCCTCTGCTGTTCTGTAGTTCTACAAACCTCTAGCTGACGGATGTGGTCCCAGTCTCTCCTCATGTGTGTGTGGCACCCCATTCTCTATGGTGATTTTCTTGGAACCCCACCTCATTCATTTAAATTCTGGAGGTAAGATAATTACCTCGTGGGAAAAGATGGGAAAGGAATTGCGTCCTACTGGGAGAATAGCATGGCTCTCCCTCTCCCTCGACTCAGTAATCTCCTTATACTAGTTCATTGGCTGGGTGATGATTGTGGGTATACAGCCTGTTCAGCTGCCTCTCATTAAATTCTGGGAGGATTATCAGCCTCCAGTGTTGGCAGCTTTCTTTGGACTGTGGCATATTAGTGCCTCTTATTTTCAGATGGGGCCCCAGGGCAACATGAAAAGTCCCACTCAATATCTTGTTATATAACCAATACTTCAGTTTAGTCTTCTACTGCAGCTGTTCAAAATATGAGCACAAAGTCGATTTAAATTTTACTTTGCCTAGTGCTGTTTTTACCACTTCGAACATCTTGATTGGCACTGAAGTGTACTGAACGTGGATGGAAGCTTGGGGAAAGTCAGTATGGTGTTCAACAATGCAAAATAAACAAATCACGACGCACCTGGACAAAATGTGCTCAATCGTGACAGAAAAAAACAAGGTGCTTTCTTTCGGGGCCTGACCTGGTTTCTAAGAAGTAGAAATGGGATGGGGGGAAGAGAAGCACAGCAAAAGAGGAAGGAAAGGAGAAGAAGAGAGAGAGGGGGTGAGACTTGAGAACACAGTAAGACACTCCTTGCTTTCATTCCTGGCTCCCATGGACACAGCCCAGAAGGAGCACTGTGGGCCCTTCTAGGGACAGGCTAGAAGCTGGCAGGCTTCCTGTACTCACAGAGCTATTTAGAGCTCTGGCCTCTCCACCAGGGATTGGTGCCCATGGCCCAGGCAGCTAGCATTCCTGAGCAGGGGAGGTGGGGAGGGAAAAAGAGAGCTTTCAAGTGTTTTCAACAATCTCCCCCACAGCCCTCTCCAACGGTTTCCCACCCTCCCCCCCTCCCTAACACCAGACTCCTAAGTTTACTGAAGAAAAACAAGCTCATTAATCCAGATCCAGCCTGACATAGCAAAAGAAACAAACCACAGTCTCATGGTGATAACTCTGGATTTGTAGGTAAGTTCTACTCACCCTGTTCTTTAATAAAAGTTTAGCCTACAAAACAAGCGTTTAGACTTTTAGCTTTTTAGACTCCAAAACAAGCTGCCTTAAAGTGTATTTCTTTCCTATGTCCTGACCTTATTCTCCTTTTTAAGGCTAAGCGTTTTCCTGTATTATTACCTCCAAAGCTTTATTGATAGCAATCTATTTATATCCTGAGCACATACTGTGCTCCTGGCCCTGAGATAAGTATTGTGAAGGACTCAAAGGAGAGAAAAGATGTGTCTCTGCCTATTAGTGCTATTTGGAGGTGAACGAAGTTGGGGTGGGCTTGGACAGGAGGGCACGTGGAGGGTGGAGAGGACCTAAAGTCTGAGAAGATGGTGAGGGTGGAAAGAGGAGCTCATGCCCAATCTAAGTGGCTTCCTCAGTGCTGCCCAGACTACTCATTTTGGACGCTGTTCTATTTTGTAATCAGTATACCTCACTCTTCCCACTCTTTGAGATATTGATCGTTCGGATTTGGCATGAGTTATTAGTCCCCAGAGTCACAAATCTGAAAGCCCCTTGAGAGTGGAAACTGTGTTTCGTTCACTACGACCCTCAGCTTTTAGCATAGTATCTGGCACGTGGTAGGAATACAAGGGGTATGGACTCATGTACATGTGAATTAATGAACTGAGGGGCTCCAGAATGGCTGTGCCCTAAGCCCCCAAATCCTCTCCAGACCTCTGAGCAAGCTCTTTGGGAGCCTTTAAAAAAATAGTAAAATGGACTTTTCTTATTGGGTGAATAACACCTTATATATGCAGGGTACAATTATTTTTTTTCCAAAGAGTTGTTTACATGCTACTCACTTGAGCTTTACAGCATTCTGACTGGGGGCTGTGTTGGGGGCACATTGTCTATCCTATTTTATTGGCAAGGAGTCTGAGGCTCAGAGGAATGACTACCCCCAATCCTTCTATGTCACTCTGGAAACTCATTTTACTATAGGGCAAAATTTCCCAATAGCATGACTATCTGACTGCTGTGGTTTCAGAAATACACAGGTTCCAAACACTGACCTCTGACTAAAAGCCAGGGGTCAGCATCCTGGTCTTGCATTATCAGGTTAACCGTGGTGCCTGGGAGAATCTTGCTTTATTTTTCTAGATCATGAGGAGGATGGAGAGGCACATGGTCAGAAGACCACTCTATAAGCACTTTGATTTGGAAAGGAAGAATGCCAAGCAGGCTGAAGCCAGACTGAGCCAAAGACTGCAGAGATTAGAGGATATCTGCCTCTACCACATGAAATTGCTGACCCGGGAGCAGAGACAGCTCCAAAAAGACCTGCAGAGGTTGCAGCAAGGTAAGGCTTGCAGGACTGGGGAGCAGCAGCTCCGGAGGCAGAGCAGGGCAGCAAGCCCCTCCCTCAGCTGGGCCCTTTCAGAACCCTGAGTGCCAAGAAAGCAGGAACTTCAGCTCTCTGTCTGGATTGCAGACTGCCCAACCTTCCTCGACCCTCCTCCTCAATTGCACAGCTCCCTGGAGCAGCCCACTCACAAGCCTTCTTGAGAGAACACCTCTCAGGCCTCCAGCCACTGTCACTTTTCAAATTAGCCCTTTCCTGCTTAAATCCTAAGTTTTCCACTTTATTTTATTTTTCATTCTGTTTTTCTTTTATTGTGTCTGGGATGATTTGGTTCCACCCTTTTTTATGGCCTATCTTTCTCCTTTGGATCTGACGACAATTTATTGAGCAGCTAATAATGTGCAAGCCACTGTCCTAGCTCACTTTATGGGAGGAAAGTTAAGAAAGACAAAAATGTCTCTAGGATTAGTATTTCACTTTCCTCAAACATAAAATGGAAATGATATTACCCGCCTCACGAAGTTATTTCAGTGAGCACTTGGGATTGTACCTAAACACAAAATAAGTGTTCACTCATGAATTAATTAAAAATTGTTACAGAATTGAAACTCTTCCACTGTCTTGTTGAAAATTGTCCCAGTAATAGTTTGTAGTTCTCCTTAGTTACCATTAAAATAATTAGATTTTAATATTTCTTCAAAATTTGGTATGGAATAGAAATATCTCAGCTCTTCTAGACTACATCCCTACTTGTTGAAGGCAGGTGCCAGAACTCAGGAGCTCTGCAAATGAGGGAGCGTGTCCAGGAGGAAAGCCAGGTGCTATGATTGAGTGTAAAATCTTTCAGGTATACACAGCTAATATACGGACACAAAAGCCAAGAGTAATATCCAAACATCTAGCCTGGAAATTACTTCTAACCTTCAGCTTTGGGTTTGAAAGATGACTCTGAACAAGAAACTGAACTCAGCTTTCAATTTCCCTGTCTGCAAAAAATGGTTAAACCAACCTAGAATGAAAGCTCACCTACTAGAAAAGGATATTAGAAGCCATTTGGTTGATTTCCACTTTAATTCTCAAAAATGACACTGAATGCCAGATGCCTACGCTCAGAAGAGTGTACAAAAGGTCAGGCCCTAGGTAAGTGGATGTCCTTGCTAAGTAAAGAGCTTGCCTCGATCACAGGTGGTATGAAAAGAGGCTGAACCAGCAGGCTGAAAAACTTTAACTCAGGGGCTTCTGTCTTCAAATACTTTGGAAAGTCATGCCCTCTCTAAGCCTCAGACTTCTTGACAGTAAAATTAGGAGAAAAGGAAGGAAACAGTAAGTATTAAGTGTCAGTATATATTAGGCACTGTGCTCAGCAATATTTTTCCATGATTCATTTAATGAAATTGTTATTGAGAGTCAATGACATGCTAGTTAGTAGACTGTTCACAATGCATATTGCCTGTTCTCATCTTAGAAATTTGGATCAGTAGGTTACAAATTAGACTCAAAAGCCCACATTTTTAACTGAGATTATACTAAGGTAGGTTATTCTGAGACAGGTGTTTTGCAGACCAGACTTTGCAAAACACTATTACAGTTATTCAGGATAGAGGCTGGAATGCAATATGAAAAAACATGCTCCCTACCCTCTAGATGCTCATATCTGAATTAGAGGGTACCTCTGCTTACAAAAAGTGATGATCAAATCTGCTAATTGCTAGATTAGAGTTATTTACAAAGTAAGGCAGGAGCACAGGAATGTTAGTATGTCTTTTAAAGGGCCTTAACTAAGATCTCCCAAAAGAGGCAGAGTGTGAGCAGAATCTTAGAGGAGGGAGAGAATAGGGAGAAGACATAGGGAGTTGTCAGGAAGGCCTGTGGAATGGGGCCACTCCTGGCAGAAGAAACAGTATGTGAAAAGGCACGTAAATGAACATGGCTTGCCACAAATAGCTCAGTACTGCAGGAGGGTGCCATGTGAGGACAGAGGAACAAAAGATGTACACGCAGTTTTCAGAGACAAAGCAGACTAGACAATGTCGCCAATCGTGGATAGTTTCACAGGTCTTGCAAAAGAGTTTAGAGTTCACCCTGTCGGGTTTGGGAGTGGGGAGATTATATGTTCAAATGTTAAAAAGATCACTCTTGTTGTAGTGTTTAAGGTAAAATAGAGCTCAGGCTACAGTCAGAGCAGACCTGATAGAATTACAAAGTTCAGGCCATGATTTCAAGGCCTAAACCAGCACACTGGTCAGGTGAAGAAAATGAGAAGACCAGCATCTCAAGATATTTAGAAAGTAGAGTTGTTAGTGTTTTATGGACAATCGTATGTCCAAGAATAAAGAAAATCAGGGTCAAGAGTATATTTCCTGGCACAGAGTAGGCACTTAAACGTACTTATTAAATCGGATAACGGGGTGGGTATAGGTACCATGACTTCACAGACAGAACACTGGGAAAAGATTAAGTTTCAGAGAGAAGATAAGCTAATTCCTGAGCCTCTTGGCCCTACAAGTCTAAACTGCAGAACAGCGGTCTTGCTGGGAGAAGTAGCTCAAAATCCCTTAGTTTATAAGGAATAGGTGAAGTTCTTACACAGAAAAGACCCCCCCACACCTCCTAAGGAGAACAACAAAAAAAGATTGGGCAACAAAAGAGTATCTTTTGTCCTGACTACTTCACAAAGAAGTGATCAAATGAAAAAATGTTAGGAGTTTAAAGTGAATCCCAGGTTATTATCTGGTTATATTCCCTCTGCCTGGAGCCTACTAACAGAAATGTAGATTTAAGGAACTCACTCCCATTAAAGCAAACTAGTGCGAGACTTTCAACCCTAAGTGATCAACTTATGAGATGTCTTGAAAGCTAACTGGCTCCTCATGGCAGCTATGACTACAGGATGCTAAAACAACTCAACAAGTGAAAAAGTCCAATTAGTCATGGCTGGCAGTTACAAACTCAGGCCACAGGAGGGCAAGAGTTCACATCTGTGTGGTTAATGAGACAATATGCTCACACTCAGTTATTTTGTTTTTGGAAACACTGTGCTTGCCAATTAAAACGTTCAAACAAAACATCCATGGGCCTAACCAGTTTAAACCTCTGATCTTGATGTTTCTAAATCCTCTTTAACATGTTCTAGGTAAACATTGGGAAACTGCTTTAAATTTTCCTGTTTTCATCTGTCATGCCTCATCAGCCTAATGCATAGAGTGGACCAAGGATAGTCACACACTGGTTCTCTAAAAACCCAGTTTCCAGCATTCTTCTCTTCTTCTCTTACTGTGTTCGTTTTCTAGGGCTGCCATAACAAGGTATTACAAACTGAGTAATAACAGCAACTTATTAAACAACAGCAATTTATTGTCTCACAATTCTGGATTCCAGAAGTCCAGAATCAAAGTGTCGGCAGGTTCCAGCTGAGGGATGTGAGGGAGGGATCTGTCACAGCCCTCTCTCCTTGCCTTGCCCCTGGCCATCTTGCCTCTGTGCCTCTTCACATGGGGTTCTCCCTGTGTGTGTGTCCCTATGTTCAAATTCCTTTTTCTCACAAAGACCCCAGTCATATCGGATTAGGACCCACCCTAGTGACTTCATTTTAGCTCGGTTATCTCTGTAAAGACCCTATGTCCAAGTAAGGTCACTCTTTGAGTACTGGGGATTAGGCCTTCAACATATGAAAAGGACACAAGTCAACCTATAACACTTACTAATTAACTCAAAGCAGATATCATGAAGAAAAAGTTCTCCTCTTATTTTGGGAATGGAAATCAGAAGAGAGCAGAAGATGTTCTCATGTTCTCACCACAAGGAAGACAGAAGCATAGAGTCCCACAGCCTAATCAAATTCGGTAAGGAAATGCTTATTAAACACATAGGTAGGAGATTGAATTTTTCTTCCCAACTGACCTCTTTAAACTGTTCTCCTCTTCCTGAGAAAATGCCGCCTTCCCCTTCTTAAGCAGAGACATTTTCCCCCACATTGTTACAACCCATTTCTACCCCCCACCTTACTCCCACCCACTTTATTACCCCCGCTGATACCCCACGCTGAAGGGGCCATGGCCTAAAAATTGGAAAGGTCCAAATATGAGCATTTTCACTGGTCTTCAGAGTTTTTTCTTCTTTTTACCTCTTTTCCCAGAGCATTAGGAACCAGTATGACCCCCAAAATATATAAACCCAAGTCCCAGATGCCTCCATCACATCACTCTGGCCTCAAAGACCCCACGAGGAGTAAAGAGCCACCATCGTCTCAAAACGACAGAACTGCCTTCTTCACGGAAGAGAAACCACAAGCCCAAGAGAAAGATTCTGTGAACCCACCTAAGAGCAGAGACTCCAATAAGGGCATCTCTGTCCTATGTCACGATCAGGAGGTTTCCACCAACACCATAGAACAAGACACTGATTCCAGCCCAGCTGGTGACAGCAGACTGTCCCATGCCGATGGGACCAGATCACAAGATGTCAATCTAAAGCCAGGGGGGAATGCTGAGAAACAAACCCCCCCAAACCCCATGGAATGTGCAGCAAGCTTCGAAGGCGAGGTCACAAAGCCAACCTTCTTAGAGTTGTTTGCAAAGGCCAAAAACGCCCACTATCTCCGGCATAGGGTCCCCCCTGAGTCTGAGAGGTTGCTTAGCATTGGGGAGATATTCGGGCATGGTGGATCCTCGTCGTCCAGGGCAGGAAGGGAGGGTGAAAACAGCGTGCCTTCTGAGTTCCTTCCTCTCTAACCATTTAACACAGCCTGACAATAACATATACCACTATCACTAAGGAAATGTGCTCCTCAAATGACTATAGTGAGCAATTCAGAGGGAAAAAAACAAACAAACAAAATTGTATGACAATTTTATTTTAAACTCCCAAATTGTATGTGTCTGTGTGTGTCTGTTTTCCTTTTACAGAAAAAAATCTTTCTCTGAAAGAACAATGCTAATATATGAAAAGTGAGGGGAGAAACAAATCTTCTGAGAATATTTTAAGTGATGCACTTGTGTTTATAATGCCATCAAAATATGAATATACGCTGATAACCGGACTTTTCTTGAAGGGAAAATAGTCCTGCTTTCTTGCCTCCTGTTTCCTGTAGGCGAGTCCCATGGTGCCACCTGCTGGTAAAACGGCATAGCTATGCTCTTCGTTTTAGTTTAATATACGGTGGTGGTAGGACAGGAACTCAACTGTAAATATGTATCATAACATGATTTATAAAGAAAATCTGCTCTTTGCCGCATCTGTTCACTTTGTGTGGAAACCCTTTCCTCCCCTCCTTCATTTCCACGTAGCTCCATTTTAGTTTTCTTATTCCCACTTTCCGCCTGCTCATAGCAAATTTTTTGGATCTTAATAAAAGAGTAATCAACAATCTGTTTCCTTTCATATGGTCTAGAATCAAAGGATTTCAAAAATTTTTATTTATCTCCCAACGCTCTATCAAATTCACATCAGAATCTACCAAGAACTACCTCACTATAAAATGAGAGATAACTAACATCTTTAACAAGTTATTATTTAAAGTAGGTCTCTATGATGCAGGCTACACTGGAAGTGAATCAAGTAGACTGTTTCCCATTCAACTGGTCCAAATATCACACTAAAAATAAGTAGTATCACAAGTTATGAGAAACAATATCTCATTGTTAATGCATTTTAAACCTATCGTCCACCTAATGAACCATAAAATCAAATCATCAGCCCTTTTTATTATCTGATTATTATTTATCCTGACTCCATTAGGAAAACCCGCTTGTACCCATAAGTCTAAAGTCTTAAAGAAATCAGGCATCTACTACTGAGTAAATTCATGTCTTCAACCCAATAGCAAATTTGAATTCTAGAAGAATAAACCTCGGGGCCTGTTTAATATCAGGCATCAACATTTGATGTAACCCAGCCTGGGATATTTTGAAGAAACAAGATTATTTCAATTAGCAATGATAAAGGACCCCCAAACTACTAATATTACAAATGGCCAGAAATGAAGATTCATTCACATTTAATGTATTGTTAATTAAAAATGAATTAATTTAATGTAATAACATTTAATCTAACTCACATTTAAGATTCCTTGTGTTTAAAAATAACAATTCATAATAGCTCCCATTGTTCAGTACTTCTTACCATCCTGATGCTTTCCACACAATGCCAGTTGGTCCTCACAACAACTCTGCAAAACAGTTTTCTTAATCTCCATTTTAGAGATGAGGAAATTGGGGGTAGAGTAGTGATAAGGTACTAATAAATGGCAGACCAGAATCTGATCCCTGGTCTGTTCAATTTCCTTGGTCACGCTCTTTCCATCACACCACACTACCATCTGTTTGAAGACAAAAGCTCGAGTCAATCATGTGAGAATCAGTGTTATTAGTCCAGCCTCAGTCTTTGATAGACAGACAATACTTTATAGTGGAAAGAGCTTAAGAAATCTGCTCCCTCCAACATTTTCTTCCACGAATGAAGCAAAGCAACAAGGGAAGGCAGGCCATGGATGAGAAAACTAATTTATGATTTGTTTATACTAGCCATGACTGGGACAGCAGGAATGGGGACACCCAAGCTCATTGCTGTATGTTCTTTCTCCTTGTCTTCTACTCAAACCTTGGCTAGAATCTCCATCACAATCCTCCTTCAAGGGGAAGTTTTCAGAATGATTTATCGCACTTCTAAATGGTCTTTTCACTATACTAGCCACGACAGGAGGAGGGGGCCACCCCAAGGCACCAGAGAGCAGGCCTATGTTGCGAGTGCACCTCACTCCTGCCATTACAAGGAGTGAATGTTCTGCGTGCACCTCCTGGTTGTCTTGCGCGTATCTTCATCTATCCGATAGACCCAGATATCTGTATTTCTAAATCCCGCATTTATTATATTCTATTTCAAATCATATTTCATTCGTTGCCTTCTAAACACATACATTTTATATTTTTATCATTTAGTCTAATACATTTTCCCTCTTCAACACAGTGGGTACAATGCTCTGATGAGTACAACTTAACACAATCAAAGAGAAAGCTGCTACATGGGGCCTTTCTTGACTAACCCATTAAATTCTAAAGAACAGTTTAAATCCTTAATCCCCACAAAGCACATTGAGCTCTAGGCTGGCTTGTACTCAACCAATCTAACGTCACTCACTTACTGCAGCGGTTCTCAACCGGGAACAAACATGCTCCCTGCTCCGAAAGACATCTGGAAACGTCCAGAGACGTTTTTGGTTGTCACAACTGAGATGAAGGGGTTGCTACTGAACTCCAGTAGGCAGAGATCATAAATCCTATAATACCTGGGACAGCCCTCCAAAACAAGGAATTAACAAGCCCAAAATGTCAATAGTGCTGAGGTGGGAAACTCAAACCCATGCCATTGCATTAAATCTTCACCAAACCCCCTGAGATAGGAATTCAGTGAGATAAGTGCCCCCATTTTACAGAAAAGGAAACTGAGGCTTATAAAAAGTAAAACGGCTCTGCCCATGCCAGAATATGAATGAGGAACAAAGGACCAGGTACTGCTTTCAGTACTGTCTTTCTCTCTCAGAGAGAATGAAGGATGATGCAATGTCCAATGGCTTTCGGCCTCATTTTCATTTATGAACTACTTTTCAACTCTATAAATAAAAATCTTCAACATTAAAATTAATAACAAATGGTAATGAGGAACAAAGGACCAGGTACTGCTTTCAGTACTGTCTTTCTCTCTCAGAGAGAATGAAGGATGATGCAATGTCCAATGGCTTTTGGCCTCATTTTCATTTATGAACTACTTTTCAACTCTATAAATAAAAATCTTCAACATTAAAATTAATAACAAATGGTAAAAAGGAAAAAAATTCATAATTCAATTTTTAGAAAAAAAGAAATTTTTATTACACTCATTTATTAATTCATTTATTCACAAATGTATTGGGGAGAGATGATTTCTTCTCCATCTCCATCAAAGAAGCTTTCACTTTGTTACCTGAACCCATTCAATGGGGAGAGAATCCATTTTTCACCCAGAGATAGAAACATCTGGAAACTCTCAGAGGTGGGGACTCAGTCCTCACCCAGGGTCCTGAAGTTCTGGAGGCTACTGTAGGGCACCCTGAAGGTTCCCACAATCCTCAGTGTGGGGAGTGAGGTTGAGTAGGTTGTTACCAGTAACACTGGCAGGACCAGCTCCTCTGAGGGTGAAATGGCCTTGAAGGCAGGACAGAAGGACTCATGCTTGGGGGGTGCGTTTTGACCCACACCAAGAGCACAAGGGCAGTGGAAGCTTAGGTCCAGTCGCAACAGATGTCAGCAGCCTACATCACCATTGACAGCAGAGTTGGGACCATTACCAAAAAAGAAGCCAGAGATGTGTGGATTGTCTCATGAGCCAACACATTCCCTCACCTCCATGCACACCTACAGGGCAGGCATTTGGACACCGAGGACAGGAGGAGGGAGATAGGGCAGCCAGGCCTCTCGCTTCTGCCTGAAGCATCTGCAGTAGAACAGAAGCTCCACTGGGTGGGGAGGGCAGACTTTAAACTGGACAAGAACCATAAGTAATAATACGTTAATGTGGTTAAATGAATATATACCAGAAATAAAACTTTAAAAACAAAAATGTATCTGTAAGTTATTGGATCAGCAGTTATTGGGGGAGAAAAGATAACTATTCCATGTTCATACCTCAACAAGTAGAAATTTCTCAACCTAACCTATACAGAGAGGCACTGTGCCAAGTCACATTGACTATAAGGAATACAAGTATTTATTAAATGGTCCCAATCTCAGATGTGGCTTGCAGTGTGGCCCATTTAAGATTTATAGGTAAAAATGTTTTACTCAATTACGTGTAATATGAACTATACCTTAACTTTCCCATCTTCCCACCATTATTATGAATATGTTGCTGTTATGTGTCCTAATATTAATAGTAGGCATCAATCAATTAGAAATTGTAAATGAAATTTAATTAGTTGGATTATTTTTAACTGCTCAAGTTTAATTCCACTAAAGTTGTTCCATGAAATTGGGCAATGAAGAAACCTTCTTGGTAAAAGGAAAACATATATAAATATACATATGAAGCCTCCAAGCGACTTACATTTTGGTTGGAATCGAACTGTATACTAGCAAGGACCCTCCCAACTCAAAATTATTGTTAATAAAACATTAGTTCAAATATGTGTGATAAAGAGAAAATGTATGCAAGCTAGATATAAAGATATTTAATCACGCAATTCACTACTGGAAAAATTTTTGAACATTCTTGCTGAGGACTACTTGCTCATAGTGAGGTGAAAGGAGGGAGACAAAGGGCACAGACAAGGTGTCCAAAAACAAAGGACAAATGCCAGGACTGCCGAACTAGGTGGTTCATATGTGTTACAGCTGTGCGGAGAGCAGCAGGCAGTGGGCAAGCACGGGCTTGCATCGCTGAGTCCCCAGCCCATCTACCTCTTAGCTTCCCCTTTAGCTCCAGCAAATGGGATAGTACGAGCAGAATAATTAGTGATTCCAATCATTATTTTGGTATTATTAAATAAAAGCATGTATAATTTTGCAGAATATGTATGAGAATTCATATTTGAATGGTGTCTTTCTCAGAGGATTTTCCCCTCTTTTTCCTTAGGGTACACACTCACACACACACCCAGACCCACGACACTCGTCTTAAAAATGGCTGTGAAAGAAAGGTGCCCCTGAGCAGTTCGCTACAAGTGCTCACAGCAACAGCGTGGTAGCTCTCAGCATGCTGG